TGTTCTCTTGTCAGTGTCAGCCACATATTGGACATACAGCTGCGTTTGCGATCTGTGTTATCCGCGTTCCGTCATTGGCTCGGGTTGATTGACAAGGAGGCTGAGCAGGGGCATACGGAGTATCGCTTCGGTTCTGAGCGTTCTCGAAGGGCGAGGCAGTCCCTCTTGATAGAAGTACACGTTGTTTGCTGTGGCTTAGATATACAAGTACTGCGTAGCGGAGACAGGCTTGCATTTCAGGCTTTTAGATGCAACCTCAGCAAACCTGCAGCAGCTGTGCCTTGCCTATCATGTAGTCTCTAGTTCTTGGGTGCTCAAATAATGAGACTCGTGGATTGAGGGGCTTGAAGGACGTTCAAGCTGGCTGCAAACTGGACTTGCATTGAGCTACAACCAGCAATGATTTACTGGCTCAACTAACAAGGCAGAGCAGTCATGTGCAGGAGATAGAATGACTTTAGTACGTCCTACACTGCCTTCAGACATCTCTACCGATACAATCAGCCAGCTCAAGGCAAATAAACCGCCTCTACTCGGTTTCGTCAATGGGATCCGTCCGCGAAAACCTGAAAACGGTCTGCCGAACAACCTAGACTCCAGGTATACCAGTCCTTTGCCCAAAAGTCTATAAACCAGTGGACCATGGACAAACATCAGGCAGCGAATCGCTATGGGAGAATTGACAAGACTCGAGTTAGTGGCACCAGACAGACCCTTCTTGACCTTCTGTACAATCTGGAGACTTATCACATATCATAGATCGATTACTTTATTTCTGCTGATACTCCTCTAGGTCAGCCATCTCACTAACACCCGCTCCGCCATCCTCGTTGCCTCCATTCCAACCGGCGCACCGCAATAAACGGTCGCATGCATGATCGCCTCCCTGTTCTCGATCCCCGTCAGTCCATTGTTGACTGCACCGCAGATATGAACACCCAGCTCATGCGAGCGGTTCAATGCCGTCAACATCCCGATGTTGAAGAGGCTGCGCTGCTTGCGGTCTACCCGGGCTGCTCCAGATGTTTCTCCAGGCCCGTGCTTGTTACCCACAACGGCCTGGCGGGTTCGAGGCCTTGGTTGTAGAGGTCTTTGTTTGTGGGCAATTCGAGGAGTTTGAGGGTAGGCCTTAAGCGATTCTCTGCGAAATTGAGGCGGTAAAAGATAATATTTCTCGAGGGAAGAGGGAAAAGGTATCAGGACGATGTAACATGTGTTAATATCGACGGCAACTCTGGCAGGATTCCATGGTATTCAATCTGTTCGGGTGACTGCGGGAGATCGTCCGGCATCCACCGCATCATTGTTCAGACTTTAGTATAGTTATAAGCTTAACATTGGATATACATGTGACATTGGCTATAGTGAGTCTACTGTCAAACTGTCTCTCAAGCACAATCAGTTTGACCAGGCCCATTGTCCTTGAGCGTGGGACAACATATTTAGACCACAGCCGTGAATGCTATTGAAGATAGTTATGCCACTACATAGGGCAACGCCAGGCTATGCGATGTTCTATCACTCGGGAATGAAACCCTAACTGCTACAAACTCCGCAAAACGTGGAATTTGTACTATAATAGTGGCGGGTTCCATGATGTTCAGTGGCAAGAATAGTCTTGCACTAGTGGCATGGGTGTTATAGAGTGGAATGTCAGAGGGCCGGCCACCTCTGCACCCCTTCATCTGTTCCCCCAAGGTCAGTACCTGTGTGAAATATGACAGCCATCTACTAACTGGAGAGATGAATAGAATGCTAGGAACTATACATGATAGGCTACGTCTACAATTCTTTCCCCAGGCGCATCATTCCAGTTTGGCGCCACAACAATGAGGTAGCCATGTAGTCCATCTTATCAGCAGCCGCACTAGCAGATATCGACCGATCTCGAAGCCGTGGCAGGCAGTCTGAGGAATCCTGGCCCTTGTGGCCGTTGCTTCCCCAGCCACTCCCGCATTCCTGACGGCGGCAGATCGACCGCGCAAGGGAGGATCCGGCAATGCATGGGGTATATGAAGTGCTCGATGATCGTTGGAATCGTTGCCAGAATCATCATCCATCCTCACATCATCCTCCACCAGACCATTTGGATCGTCAAGACATCGTCATTCTACATCACCGAAGCAAGCCACAAGAGCCTACAGTCTCTATCCCGCTCGGTCGCTCAACATGTCGCAGTCAACGCGGTCATCGATGCTCCTGAACTTCCTCCTCCTGACCATCCTAGCTCTATCCTCCCTGGGGTCGACTCGTCCCGTCTCCAAGTCAGGAAGTGGCCTGTCAAGATCTGATCTCCACTCGAGATCTGCTAATCCCGTACGTGCCTTATCCCCTTCACCACATACATACAACCCAACCACTAACAGCTCCGCAGAGAGTGGTCCCTTCATCCGACGAATACCGCGACGAGATCATGAAGAATCTCTTCGACTCGCTCGGTCTCAACGCCCTGGACAAGCTAGACGACTGGAAGTCGAAGATGGAGGACTCCGGTGCCATCGACGACAGCAACAGCGCCAGCAACACCATCACGGCCGATCACAACGCCTCCATCGTCGACGAAGCCAAGAACAACTCGGATGACAAGCAGACCGAGGACCCATCGGACCCTGTCGGGTTCGTGGATGATGTTCTCTCCACAATTGTTGACAAGTTCCACGAGGCGTTCCTCACTCAGGATGAGGTTACGCTAGTTTGAGACGTTCTGACTTGGAGTTTCTGAATATGATGGTTTTGGTCTATCGAGACTGGGATGGTCATCTGTTTTGCGGTTTCTGTTGGCTCTTCTCTTGATGGTGTCCTTCTCTTCTTCAGGGCGATAAACGCTTCAGCGTGGTAGACGCTAATGAGTTATGATGGCAGGTTATGTACGAGTCAGCGATAGATAATAAAAAGTACATCTCGACCAAAATCTTTTCCTCTCATACTCCGTCTTTCATACCTGGAACATCGGCATTCGCACCATGATCCGTAATCTTTTTTTACTTTTAAGTCCGTCTAAAATCGGACAGCGAGCACAAGCATGGTAATCACAGCTTTCGGATTCTCGATGACCGCCCCTTTGCCCGGGCTAACTCATAGAAATCGATAGAAGATGGACAGAGCCCGAGAGTGTAAGCTTGGCGGTGATAAGACAGCTAAGTCCGCCGCTGTCGGTATCCGGTGCGGGGTGGACCATGAATGATGCAACAAATTAGTATTCATCCAGTTGACCGAGGGCAGCCGAAGCATAAATACAACAATATTCCCTACCATTTGCCTGAGATCAATCGCTGAGATACACTAATTGCACATAGACACGCAATCCTCTGGTAAAAGAAAGGGAAAAAAATGCCTTCTCTCGTTGGAAAAGAAATTGGCCCCACGGGCTACGGCATGATGAGTACGTTATTCTTTAATTAATTCGTGGCTCTCCGCTCAATGAGCTCACTACTGACACAGACCAGGAATGACATGGAACCCCCAACCCCCCTCTGAAGAGACATGCTTCGAAACACTGAACACGGCCCTCGCCCTCGGCTCGAACTTCTGGAACGGCGGCGAGCTCTACGGCACCCCGGAGTATAACTCGCTGCACCTGCTGAACAAGTACTTCACCAAGTACCCCGAGAACGCAGACAGGGTGGTTCTGAGTATCAAGGGCGGCGTGAAGCCGGGCCAGCTTGTTCCGGATGGCTCGGAGGCGAATATCCGCCGCAGCGTGGATGAGTGTCTACGTGTGTTGGACGGGAAGAAGTCGGTGGATATCTTCGAGTGCGCCCGGCAGGATCCTAACACGACGGTCGAGCAGACGGTGACGATCCTGGCTCAGCTGGTCAAGGAGGGCAAGATCAAGGGAATTGGGCTGAGTGAGGTGAATGCGGAGACGATCCGGCGAGCGTACGTTCTACTTCTGATTTGCCACTACGCTGTTACTAATGACCGAGAACAGACACAAAGTCCACCCAATTGCCGCGGTAGAGGTTGAGCTCTCTCTCTGGGACACCCACACCCTGCAGGACGGCGTGGCCGAGACCTGTGCGGAACTGGGGATTCCACTCGTCGCGTACTCGCCTCTGGGCCGTGGAGTGCTGGCCGGTGCTTTCACTAGCGTATCTGAGATTCCCAAGGGTGACTTTCGAAAGATGCTGCCTAAGTACCAGGACGACACAATGAAGCACAACATCAAGCTTGTCAACGAGGTCAAGGGTTTGGCCTCTCGCAAGGGCGTCGCACCCGCCCAGATCGCTTTGGCCTGGCTGCTGACCCTGAGCGGCAAGCCAGGTATGCCTACCATCATTCCGATCCCTGGGGGTACAACGAGCGACAAGGTTACGCAGAATTCGCAGGGCGTTCCCCGTCTATCCGATGCCGAAATGGCTGAGCTTGACGGAATTCTTAAAGAGAACGAAGTCCGTGGTGCTCGGTACTAGGCAATTGTTCATTGTTGCGGAGAGATTTGTATTGAATATGGTACATGTAAAGTAAGGAACTGAGAACAGACAGCTATCCTGATATATAATCCTATAATCTGATCTTGTCAGCACATTGTTGTGAAATGTATATGATAGAACACAGTTAAGCTCAAAGAATAAGTCAGATCAAGTGTAGAATAGTCAACATGCAATCTCACAAAAGACTGGAGATTGTCCGCATTGCAGAATTCTTGATTAAATCATCATGCAAAAGGAGCGGGCTGACAGTAGTACTTACATTAGTTTCCAAGCTGAGCTGCTGTGTTCATTCGATGATGGCAATAGTCTACTGATGACATGCTGTCGAGCAATTGATTGTTGTTTGAAGATGAATAGGAGAAAGAGAGAAGATTTGGTGATTGTGCGGGTTTTTCTTCGATCGGAATAGCCTCATCACGTGTTGCTCGCTGCATGTATACTCGAATCAAACATCAGCAACACTCCGCAAGTGTCGCCATTGAAGCGCTATCGGCAGCAGTTTTTTATCCAGTTCAGCATCAATTCTCAACTTCTTCGTCCCCGGCGTTGGCTTCAACGCCTATCCCAATGACCGAATCTCCCGGTTCCCCCCTCTCCTCGATTGCGTCCGACGAAATGTCGGATCGCGAAGACCTCAAGCATGCCTTCTCGCCGTCGGCCTCAACCCTGCCTCCTTCCAAGCGTCGTCGCACCGGTGTCGCGTCATGGGATCGCAATACTCCTCTCTCGACCACATTTCAAGAAGATCTCCCACCGACCTCCCCCTCGACCTCGATCTCGTCAGATACCTCCGGCGACATCCCCAACTCTCCCACCCTCCTGGCCCTGATAGGTGGCAGCCAGGATGACGACTACAGCGGCCAGGGCAACGACCAGGTTACCGTGTGTCGGTGGGAGGGATGCAATGTTGGCGATCTCGGCAACATGGACGATCTGGTCCAGCACATCCACAACGATCATGTCGGTAACCGACAGAAGAGATACTCCTGCGAGTGGTCCGACTGTCCTCGAAAGGGCCAAACGCATGCGAGCGGCTACGCACTGCGCGCACACATGAGAAGCCATACGAGGGAGAAACCATTCTACTGCGCGTTACCAGGTGAGAACCTCTCATCCTCCCTTGTTCTGCTTGATTAGAATCCCCATTGAGTGCGGCGCTAACAAATCCCTCCAGAATGCGACCGCAGTTTCACCCGTTCAGACGCCCTCGCCAAACACATGCGAACCGTCCACGAGACAGAAGCCCTCCGACCCTCCGACCCCGTACCGAAAGGCCACAATGTCCCAGCCTCCGCGATGGGAACCCCTGCCGGAACCCCCGTCAGTAAACTCCAGCGCATCAAGCTGAAGCTGTCGCAACCTAAGGACGAGGCAGACAGATATAGCGAGATCGCCAACGATGAGGCAGTCGTCCCCGAGGACCTCGACGAGCTCGAACTACCCGAGTTCGGTTCCGAGATCGGGTTCGACGAGCACGAGCTCCAGCTCCGGCCTTACGATCTCTACCGGCTTCTCCGTCGGCAGATCCACTGGGCCGAGAAGGAAGGCCAGGAGCTGAAGGAGGAATGGGAGAAGATCAGGCCGAAGAGGAAGCAGGCGTGGCTGGAGAAGGAGACCATCTTCGACGATGTCATCGACGCCGAACTCCGGTTGTTCAGTGCCATTGTGGCCACGGAGGGTCTCCCAGCTGAATCAGACAGTACCCCAAATGGTGTCCAGAAACAGCAGCGAGGACAGCATGTAGCTGTGGCTGAAGCCGAGGCGAATCTGAGCCGCGACTCAATGTCCATTCCTCCATGATCTCGTGCTACTTGACTCTGTCTCCTACTCCGTATACCTACCTACTTCCTCTCTCTACTGGTCTTTCGCGGGTTAAGCTTTCGGCGTCTTTGTGGATTTTTCTACGTACTTGCGATTCCATGTGGCACAGGCACATCGGACTTTTCAGTGCATGGTTGTATCTGCAGATCAAACAAAAATGTCTTGTATCATTATTTTGATAGGTCGGGAATCTGGAAATCAATGTACCGTTCCACTACCTATATCGCACCGAGTCGTTGTACTTCTTTGTAGTCTTCCAGGTGCTGTGATCAGACCAATATCCAACTCATCCTACGCTGACTACGAAAGATCTTCAAGAGCATCCACGATCAAGCACAGAAGTGATGAGTGATGAGTGATATGAATCATGTTCTTTTTTCCCTCTCCATGTCCCTGCAAAAAAAAGCTCAGATGAAATAAGATATTCGACACAATGTCAAGCCCAGATGATCGCTAAAAGCCGCCACACCGTAAGCATCAAAGATGACATGAAAAAAAAGAAGAGGTCTACAACGCATTGAATGCATCTCCCAGAAACGACGAATGATCCCAAAACGAAATCAAACTCCAGGGAGTGACCCCATAATAGAAGATACACGAAGTGAAAATAACAAATGCGAAAGGACATCACCATAGGGCCCACGCCAGTTGGAGGGGCCCGTATGGGCTTGGAGAAACAGGAAACGCAAAACAGGGCCCAACACTCCATAAGGGGGGTCCCTGTAAATGGAAAAACCGACAAGATGCAGGGATGACGAGGCCCGACGCCCCGAGGTCGGGGGGGACCAGGTCCATATGGAAACCATGAAAACATGAAAATAAGAAAAGAATTTTACATAAACCAAACATATCATGAGGAGCCCGCTCGAAACCACCTTTGTCAACTGACCAAACGCCAATGTGATGCCGTTTCACGTATGCATAGATGTAGCTCAAGAAGAGGCTTGATAAAAGCGGTAAAAGAGGAAAAGATTGAGAAATGGTCTCCTAGACAAGGCATCGATGATTACCTTGTCAGACGCGCGGATGAAAGCTGATGAGTCTAATCTCTCGCAGAGTATGGAGTTGACGCAGACCCGTCCTTGTTGGCGGTTGCATTGTTCGCAGCAACGATTTTCTGATACATCGTCTGGAGTTGACGACCTCCGGCTTCTTTATTCGGCCAGTAGTTGATAGCAACGTATTCCCTATCAATGGTTAGCGAACTGGCGTACCGACTGGTTATCTTCTGAAATGAACTCACCACAAGCGAATCTCAAGGGACGGCATGTAGTTCTCTCCTTTCAACGTCTTCCGAATGAATCCGCCAATGTAGCCAAGCAGGTTGCGTAACTCAGAGGCGCGGCGCGCTTTACTTGTCATGCTGTCCCTAGTCAAACCAGAGACTCGCTCGAGAGAGGAAAGAATAGGTTTGAACAAGAGGCGAAGCATCTCGTCGGAATTGCCGTTATCGCTCGATTTACGGTCGCTCGGTTTACGACGACGAATATCCTCGCTCGAAGCGTCAGACAATTTGCGCCGAGGACGGTCATTTTCTTGGCCGGACTTTGGGCGAGAATCCCGACCTGGAGTATGGTTCCGCTCCACACTGTCACGGGCTCCATGGGTGTGAGAACGGTGTCTTGAACGGTCGGCTTCACGGTGACCCTTGCGTGCGATAGATGGCGCAGGCGAGGCCGAAACGCTGACGCTCGCGTTGGTCCGAGCGGTGCTCCGGTTGTTGCGATGATGGTTCTCAACAGCTCTCCTGGCAGTGACATTGGTGCCATTGGTCAACTTGTCTCTCAGCACTGATAGCAAATACTCGACCCGGCGAACCAGATGAACCGCTCCAGGAGTTTTGGTTGTCTTATCATCGGCGTTCGCGCGCTCGTTCTTCTTCTCGACACGATGCTCCTCCAAGAAGAGCTTATCACCCAGTCCAAGTTCCGGGTCATCCCGAATCTGGGTCCAGGCACCCCATCCATGGCGGGCGACACCGACGCACAACATGCCGTCTTCCCGCGCGCCCCACGAGCATGAATAATCCGCGGCCTTTGTTGCTTCCGGAATGCGAAAGCTCTTGACGTCGGCAACTGTTGAGGTGACCTGCCTCAGAATGCGCAAGTCTCTCGGACGATCCACGATGTGGTGAGCATTCAGACGGTTAGCGCCTTTGAAATCAAACAAGACGGCCTTCCTCTCCTTCTTCGTTACCATCTTGCCTGCCTTTTCCAATGCCTCCATCTTAGCATCATATTCTCGGATGAGCTTGGCAGCCATATCAGACATTTCCCGCAGAACGGCAAGAATAGTTTCCCTGTCCCTATCCACGAGACGGGCTTCCCGCAAGAATTCTTCTGTGCGCTCATTGAGGTCTCCATAACGTACGAGGGCCCGATAAACATGGCGGATCTCTTTATGATTAAGAGGACGTTTTGGGTCCAGTTGGTGACTTTCGTCAGAGCTGTCCCCCTCGTCGACCGTAACCTGAGCTCTAGCTCGTCGCTTAGCTTTTCTTTCTTCACGAGACTCCTGCCCATCAGCGGGAGCATTGCGTTTTCGAGGTCGACTCATCTCGATCTGTTCGGCGAGGTAACGTTCGTCCGCCTTGCGCTTTTCCTCAGCTTTAATTTCGTCCAATTGATCCTTGGGGATGATATCGTCCCAAGTAAGATCGTCGACTTTGATGTCAACGAAGTCAAATGCATTTAGGAATTCCTCGCCACCGTCCGCTTGAATACCTTCAGCCTGTTCTGTCTGGTGTAATTCTGCGTTGGCCAGCACCGAATCAATGTCGAGCTGTTCCAATTTCTGTTGATTGCCAGTCTGTTCGAACATCTTTTGACCGCGGCGTTTGAGAATACGGGAAATGTCCTCGGTGGAATTCGGTTCGCTAACGGAAATGCCACTCCGGGCCATCTTGTTCTGAATTTCCGAGGCTTCTTTATCAGTGACGCCCCTTTGAATAGTGATGAACTCGAGCAGCAACTTGTTGCGAGCTCGCTCGATAACTTCTTCTTCAACGGTATCTTTTGAAACAAGACGATATACGCTGACTGGTCTGGTTTGACCGATTCGGTGTGCTCGGGCCATTGCCTGAAGATCAGCCTGTGGGTTCCAGTCTGAGTCGAACAGAATGACAGTATCAGCAGTCATCAGGTTGATACCCAGACCACCTGCCCGAGTAGACAGAAGGAAGCAAAAATCGCTACTGCCGGGCGCATTGAAATGCTCAATAGCCAGACGGCGCGAAGCAGCAGGAATCGTTCCATCTAAGCGTTGATACGAGTAGCCACGAGACTCCATATATTCGCCGAGCAGGTCAAGCATTTTCACCATTTGGCTGAAAATCAAGACGCGGTGACCATCTCGTTTCAACTTGGCCAAGAGCTGGTCGAGAAGCATCATCTTCCCGCTGCTTGTGATGAGTGCCCTCAATACGTCCTCACGACGCGTGCTTCCTTCCAGTATCTTGGTTTCAGCATTAGGGAACATGAATGGGTGATTGCTAGCCTTCTTCAATTCCATCATGATGTTCAGAAGTGACTGCTTTTGACCTTGTGCGCCATCGTTCAAAGCGGCGTAGTTCTTGGTAAGAATGTTTTTGTAATACTCCAGCTGCACGTCTGAAAGCTCAACGCGAATGATCTTCTCCGTCTTAGGAGGAAGGTCAGACTCGACCTTCGACTTTGTGCGGCGAAGCATGTAAGGTTGGATGGCGTTCGTCAATGCCGCTAATTTCTGAGAAGCCGCTTCAGCATTGAGGTCCATATCCACGTCCACATCTATCACGCCAGGATTCAAGAAGTCCATGAGGGCGGACAGTTCAGCGAGATTGTTCTGAATAGGAGTTCCAGTAATGAGAAGACGAGCGGGTGATCTGAATTCCAGCAACTTCAGATACAACTGCGAATCACGATTCTTCAAGCGATGAGCTTCGTCGACGGCCATGAACTGCCACTTGAACTGGCTCAGGAAAGTCGAGTCCTGAAGCACATACTCGTAGGTAGTAAGGAGCACGTTGAACTTTGTACGCCTGGGATTCCCGTCGATCATCAGTTCATAATCTTTGAGCATGGTGCGTGCGGCCTCGTTGCCATTGTAGACCACATAGTTCAGATCAGGGGACCAGTTGTCAAAGGTTTCAGCCCATGATGGCATAGTGGAGAGGGGGACGACGACGATGAAAGGTCCTTGCTGGCGTCTGACATGACGCAGCCACGCGATGAAAGCGACCGTCTGAACGGTTTTACCCAATCCCATCTCGTCAGCGAGAACGACGTTACGGTTCTTGACCCAGTTAAAGGCCATGAAGTTGACTCCCTTGACTTGGAAATCTTTCAGTTCGCCGTTCTGTAAGAAGCTCGGTGTGCCCTTGATTGGTTCGAAGGGTTTGCGAGTGGCAGGGTTCATCTCGGTCTTGTCCGACAAGGGTGGATGAGAGGAACGGTCCAAGAAGCGATCGACCTCGCGTTGAGCAATCTGGCTGACGAGACTTTCGCTCTCCCAGGTACAAGAGTCGTAAAACAGCCGCTTCCATTTGACGAGGTACTCTGTTCCCTCATCACCATCCCGCATTGCAATCACTCTTTCGACGTGTTTGTAATCTTCAATGGCCTCGACATCTCTTTCACGGTCGAGGTTCCACTTTTCACGCTCCTCGGGTAGGGCATCTCCGTCATGGTTCATACGTAGCTCTTCAGAAAGCACCTTGCGAATGTAGTTATCAACTCTGCGAGTGCTCCGGCAGTTATCGACGAGGGATTTGTAAGTCTCCCATGTGGCATGGTAATGTGATTTCCCCTGCCATTTGATGTAAAATTCAAAGGAGTGCTCATCAACATCGTTGTCACCCGGACTGACCCCCTCTTTGGGGCGATGGTTTAGCACGACATCTACAGCTGGACGGTCGTCTTCCACTTGGTTTGCCTGGTAGTTGTCCATAACCTCATCAGGTTCATCCAAGAACATGTCATCGTCATCGTCTTCATTGTAATTGGAGACACGACGAGAAGCATTCCGCGTCGAGAAACGGATCTCAGCATGTGAAGGTTCTTTGTTCGACGCTGGCTGCAGCATACGACGACGTTTCGCCTTACTCGTACGAGAAGGTCCGCCATACTCGTCATCGTCCGACTCGGCAGAGTAGGAAGACTGACTAGCGGGAGGGGATGGACGCTTCGAGGACCGCTGTGAGGCTACCGGGCGTCGACGCTTGGTGCGTGAGACCCCAACGACAGACTCTGACTCTGAGGATGTGGATTGGATAACCTGGCGCGTTGTCCGAGCTCGTCCGCTACGGCGAAGACCATACAAATCTGGATTCTGCCTGATGAAGTCTGATTCACTCAGAGACGATGATTTACGTTTGATGCCACGCTTGATCTCCGATGACGAGGAATTTCCGATGCTGGATGGGCCGCTACCTTTCTCGCTACTATCCGTAGCAGAGTAACTGCCAACCCCCTCAGCATCAGGAGAGCCGCTATGGTACGACTCATCCTCCATCTCCGCATCGGGCGATGACTCTGACGATGTGAAATTGTTTGATTGTTCGGAGAGGTTGTAACCGCCATTGTTATCAGCCAGTTCGCCGTTCACGGCTGGAGAATTCGAGGTGAGAGAGGGAGAAAGGCCGTTAGACAATGCCATGTTGGCAATATTATCGGAGGGTGATGGGATCACCATGCTAGTGGCTGTTGATGAAGAGAAAAGTCAGCATTGAAGCTTGATTCGGGGTCGAAGCGGCACGAAAGGCACAGGTATGTGTAGATCAGCACTACGCGACTCCATTTCCAGCAAATAGAAGCTAGGAAGCCTGTGATAGCCGACAGGAGACAAGGTATGATGCAAGGACATGGTTTGGATGACGGATTGGATAGAACGCGACAGGAAGGATTGAGGAAACGACGGCGAAAGAGGAGGGCAAGCGTCAATCCCAGAACCAGGGTCAGAGCCGACAGACAGCCCAGACGACTCAGAGAATTCAGAGAGACATGAGGACGGGAAGATGCAACGATATTCTTGAGTTCGGTGGGTCGATAACGTGGAGAAGTACCCCAGCCAACAGAACCAGGACACGGGCTGTAAGGCTAGGAAAAGAGAAGGAAATACTCACAATTCATAGCGAGGTGACCCCGAAAAAGGGAGGAACGTACGAGACAATGTTGAATCAATAGGGATTGATATGTTGGTGTTGGAGAAAGAATGATAAAGTGGGTGGTGGAGAGAGAGCGAGCAACACCAGATACGGATGGGAGAATAATATGATGAGGGAGTAAGAAAGAGAGGTAAGGTTGGCCGCCAGGCTGCGGGCTGGGAGGTGGACGAGTCGCAGTGAAGAGACGGCTTTGCGGCCTGAGACTCAAGGCTGCAAGACCACTCCATACCATATACAGTTTAGTGAGCCCACAAGCGAGTCCCCAACAGGTATGGCGGCACCTCTGGCATCACGTGGCCGACTCTCACCAGCGGTAGAAATTCACAGCTTCGGAGGACGGCGCAGTAATTTTCCAGCCTGGACCGGGCATTAAAGAGAAATTTTTCGAGGGACAGACCGAGGGCCAATCACCAGCCAGGGAAAATAATAATAATGAGAGCCTTAGGTACTCAACCTAAAAGAAACTGACTTGTAGCCTGAGGCATCAACGATGTGCCCACAATGCCCGACATAGATTTCTCTCCCCCCATTGAGAGCCCCTCATTTTCGACGCCTCCATAAAGAAACCTCGCTCTCCTCCGCTTGCATTCATATCTAGTAGCTCGTTGTCAGCCTCTCTTGTCCGGGTTTCTGGCTCTCTTATATAAAGTCAGCCAAGACAGCTGTCGCGACGTCATCTACGCATCTGCTAGAGGTCACGTCAGAGCCCATACTTGCTGCTATATCTTGCTTGGTCGAGGAGATTTGCGTCTGTTGGTTATCTGTCTGCGTGTGCTTTTCAATCTGATACTTGGGCACCATGTCTGACAAGCTTACTCGGTGAGTCTGTTTCTCGGAATCTCCGCAATTTCTCGAGAACCGAGTTCTAATTGCTTCTACTCTATATAGTATTGCCATTGTCAATAGTGACAAAGTGAGTTACTTCGTTGCCCCGCGAGAAGCTATATCATGGTCGCGTCGCATTTTACTTACCCTGATACTCTCTGTTCTGTAGTGCAAACCCAAGGTATGATTGAAATCGAGATCTTCCTCTCATATCTATAGCATGGCTGATCGTTACAGAAATGTCGCCAAGAGTGTAAAAAGTCTTGCCCCGTCGTCCGTACCGGAAAGCTCTGTATCGAAGTGACGCCGGAGTCCAAGATCGCCTTCATCTCGGAACGCCTTTGCATCGGTTGCGGTATCTGTCCTAAGAAGTGTCCTTTCGGTGCCATCCACATCATCAACTTGCCCACAAACTTGGAAACCGAGGTCACCCACCGTTATTCGGCCAACAGCTTCAAGCTTCACCGTCTCCCTATGCCCCGGCCCGGTCAGGTCCTTGGTCTTGTTGGAACAAACGGTATCGGAAAGAGTACTGCTTTGAAGATTCTTAGCGGCAAGCTGAAGCCCAATCTCGGACGCTACGACAACCCTCCCGATTGGGAAGAGATTCTGAGATATTTCCGTGGTTCCGAACTGCAGAGTACGTATACTGCCGAGTCTCAAAAAGTTGTGGATAATTGGTCCATGGTTTCTAACTTTCATAGACTACTTTACCAAGGTCCTAGAAGACAACCTGAAGGCCGTGGTTAAGCCCCAATATGTCGACCAGATTCCTCGGGCTGTGAAGGGTCCGGTCAAGAACGTCGGGGATCTCATCAAGGCTCGCTCTCAGATGAACAACATGGAGCGCATCATGGATGCTCTTGGTATGGCTTTTTCATGAACACAACTTTTAAATCGAAGAAACTGACTTTATTCGTAGAACTCAGACAGGTACAGGACCGTGACATTGACCACTTGTCTGGTGGTGAACTTCAACGGTTCGCTATTGGTCTTGTTTGCGTGCAGAAGGCCGACGTGTAAGCACCACTAGCATGCAGTCATATCCGCTCTCACTAACGGAATTGTAGGTACATGTTTGACGAGCCATCTTCCTACCTCGATGTCAAACAGCGTTTGGCGGCAGCCCGCTCTATTCGTGAGCTTCTGCGCCCTGATGACTACGTCATTGTTGTCGAGCACGATTTGTCCGTTCTTGACTATCTTTCAGACTTTGTCTGTGTGCTCTACGGTAGACCTGCTGTCTACGGTGTTGTTACACTTCCTTCTTCTGTCCGTGAAGGTATCAATATCTTCCTGGATGGTCACATACCCACCGAGAATCTTCGGTTCCGAGAGGAGTCTCTCACTTTCCGTCTGGCTGAGGCTGGCGATGACTTCATGGTTGACAAGGCCCGTGCTTTCACCTACCCGAGCATGGAGAAGACTCTTGGCAATTTCCACCTGAAGATCGACTCCGGTTCATTCACTGACTCTGAAATCATTGTCATGATGGGTGAGAACGGAACTGGCAAGACTACTTTCTGTAGAATGCTCGCTGGTGCCGAGAAGCCTGACGGCAACGTCAGCATGCCCCGCATGCACATCAGCATGAAGCCTCAGAAGATCACACCCAAGTTCCAGGGTACCGTGCGTCAGCTCTTCTTCAAGCGTATCAAGGCTGCTTTCCTTTCGCCTCAGTTCCAGACCGATGTCTACAAGCCCCTCAAGATGGATGACTTCATCGACCAGGAAGTTCAGAACCTGTCTGGTGGTGAATTGCAACGTGTTGCTATTGTCCTTGCCCTCGGAATGCCGGCCGATATCTACGTGATCGACGAGCCTAGCGCTTACCTTGACTCCGAACAACGTATCGTGGCTGCCAGAGTCATCAAGCGTTTCATCATGCACACCAAGAAGACCGCTTTTATTGTCGAGCACGATTTCATTATGGCCACCTATCTCGCTGACCGTGTCATTGTCTTTGACGGCAAGCCTTCTGTTGACGCGCACGCCAATACCCCCGAGTCGCTGGTCACCGGTTGCAACACTTTCTTGAGAAACCTGGATGTCACCTTCCGTCGTGATCCCAACAGTTACCGTCCTCGTATTAACAAATACAACAGTCAGATGGACCAGGAGCAGAAGTTGGCTGGCAACTTCGTAAGTCGCCCAAATCCGACCCGTGCAAGTTTATTTTACGCCATGCTAACATGCCTCATCTTTAGTACTTCTTGGAGGAAGAGAGTTGAAAAGGTCATTCCAGGCAAACATAATCGCAACCATCACAGGGACGATGGTCGCGACGCTGACCAACGGCGACGTCGTGGTCAATGGAAAACCCTTCGTTTAGTGGCGTTATTCGGCGTTCCTGGGGCCTCGCGTCGCCGTAGCCGTGGCTTGTGCCTCGTTGGCGATCTAGCTGGTGCTTCGGATGAGGAGGAGGATGACGATGACGACAATGTTAAGTAGGGACAGTTGGTTCATCTGTTCCCGGTTCACACTTCACTGTGTTCACATGTCGTCATCCGTCTTCGTCCCTTCTGATGCCCCATATCCGCGCACCCTGTTGGTCCAGTCATCCTATCTTCGTTGTAAGCAGAATGCAGGCAACCTGGGCCAACATGGGTTTTACTGGGTATTGGTGTGCTTTGGCTGGCGTGATCATATTCGGAGTTGGGTCTCTCAAAATTCTTCGATGATGTTATGATATGTATAGATGGTCCCATGACCAATGTGTTCAGATTCAGTGAAGACAAAAGGGAGCTGGGAAATGGTCAAGTTAGGGTGGCCACTGTCATAGATCTCAGATAGCATATATAAGCTATTTGGTTCTCTACCGTCTTAGTCTTCACTATTAATGACTAGTCTTATTACCTTGCAGGTATGGTGCTGGACATTATGAGCGGTCAAGTGCGCAGCATATCTATATATACAGCCAGACGCGAAGATCCAGCAAAATATACTCTAATCCAAGTCCTCCACTTAGACATTCTCAATGATCGGCTAGAAATAGCTGTGTATCTGAATGACACGCATCAACCTGCGCTTCTGATATATATCTCTCTACTATATCGCTCAGTACCGAGCAGGAAAAGATAAACACGATCCATGGCATAACTACTCCAAGGGTACGGCCTGTGTGCCTCTCATATGGAAGCAGATACATACGCCTATATAGTCAACTTCACGAAGATGGAAATGCCAATCTCCCATCCAACCAGGAATTGTAGGATTACCAATGCACAGCTACGTACATCAGCCGACTAGTCCTCCTCGATTTCTCCCTCCTCACTGCCAGAGTGCACAGCCTTTTCTTCTCTCCTGGCTTCCTCCGCGGCAGGAGTTGGTTCTTGACGCTCCCTGTCCCTCTTGGAACCCCTGCTACGCTCTCGCTCGCGACTCTCACGCCGATAGCGCTTCGCAGACCGGCTAGCGACGCTCTCTGTATCGCTGTCTCTCCGGCGCCTCCGGTCGTTGCTGACGGTGCTTCGTGTGTCCGCACCGTAATCCAGCTCATCCCGACCTCCACGAGGGTCACCGCGTGTGCGATAGAGTCTTTCGCGCTCTTCTTCCCGATCCCTTCGTTCACGATCATAGTGGCTCAGAGACCGAGAGCTGCGCTCTCGATCTCGATCCCGATCCCGATCGCGGTAACGGTCTCGGTCCTTCTCTCTCTCGCGATCCCTGTCACGGCCCCGATCGTCACGCTTCTCGCGGATCGGAGATAAGCCGCTGACTTTTCTGTAAGTCCGCTCGCGATCGGCCTGAGCTTTACGACGGTCTGCTTCATAGGCATCGGGCTCAGGTGTGCGACTGAGACGACTAGGAGGCCCTCGTCTCTCGCCTCTACGGTGATCGCGATCGTAATGTTCTCGCCGGCTTCCACGATCTCTGTCTCGATCACGCTCCCGCTCCCTGTCCACGTCCTCCTCCTTTTCCTTCAACCGGCGGATGAACTTGTCAAAAGCCACTTGGCGAAGCTCATCTGATTCAATCGCCTTGTATTCCTCCAGTTTCTCGATCCTCGGACGCACTTGGTCCCAAGTGTCGGTTGGGCGTATAGGAGGTTCCAGACGTTTCATCCGCGAGCGTAAGGCATCGATAGCACGTCGCTGATGACGATCAGCGGCATGCTTCTCCTCCTCGCTTCTCCGGATAGCTTTCTCTTTGATGCGATCAAAGAGGAGTTGGAGTATGTCAGAATCGAGGTTCGCCGTGCGGCGGTCTGAAAGGATGAAAGACTGAAACTCTTCAAACGTGGTCTTTGGCGTGACCTCATAGCGTTTATCCTAAGAGGAACATGTTAATGAATACGTTCAAGGACACAGGGTGTAAGGGACCTTACATCGAGAACATCCAGCACGTCATTCCGTGGCCCCCGCAACGACCGTTCCTCTTCTTCTACCATGTCCCAAAAGAGATCCAAGGGAGTAGAACCCGAGTTACCTAGCATTGCAAGGTAGCGTGGATCCTGGTGAATCAACGGGTAGATGTTCATCCACTTGCTGCCAGCTTTGATCTTGCCTTGGGCCTTCAGTTCCTTTAAGAGCTCGCTGAAGTTCTCACGAGCGTGGCGTTCTTTTCTCGCCTTTGCTGCCTTCTGCTGTTGACGTGCATCATTGAACGTCCGCTCAAGGGACTTGATGTGGTTTTCAAAAGCGGTCAAAATATCAGACTTGCTGAGGGTTTTGAACTTATCATCGCTTTGAATCTTGTCATTAGACTGGATAATAGCCTGTGCTTCAGACCACCGCGTGTAAGGCTCCAGGTTCAAAGAATTCATGATATTGACCAGTTCATCGAGTGCAGCACTGCGCCGCGCAGCCTCCTGCTCCACGTGCTCCTTCTTCAGCTCGAGTATATACTCCTCGAAGAGCTGTCGCCTTTCGTTCTCATCGTTGGTGGACCTGAAGATCGTCTCACCTTCGATAATGGGGCGGATCGTCTTCCAGCGGCTATAGTGCTTGATCTCAGGATGGCTTTTCAGCATAGTATTAAAGTCGGTTCTGAGCTTAGTAAATCTTTCCTTGGCTCGATCCTTCTCCTGCATGCGGAGCTCGGCCGCGTACTTCTCAAAAGCTGCCTTTCGGTCTCTGGGATCCTTCAAAGCACGGTATTGCGGATCTTTGATAGTCGCACGCATCGTCTGCTCCCATGACCAGTCAGCCTGAACGTTGTGGCGCTTGAGCATCTTCATAAACGCGTTCTCAGCTTCTTCGAGGGAATTATACTCTGGCTCTGCCTGCGCAGTTCCCAGTGCCGGAGCGGCCGAAATTCCATTGACATCCATGGAGCCGAAACCACCGCGCCGGTCGCCATAGCCTCGGTCATAATCGTCACGGTCACGCTGTTGTGGATGGGAGGGAAACGAGCTGACTCCGCCTGCGACAAACGTTGGGGCCCTGTGCGCAAAAACTGGTTAGTATCTGACGGCACGTTTAAGCAACTGGAGCTTCCTTACGCTACAGGGGCCGGTTGAGGTGCCTGAACCTGCGCCAAAGCATTTTTGTAAACATCTGGCATCTCCCAAGTGCTTTGCTTAGTTTCCGTGTTGTACCAGTATTTCCGTCCACCCTCAGCAGTATATTCTTTCCATGGCTGATTGGATAGAGCTCGCTGTGAACGTAAGGAAAGTATTAGCACAAACATGAGCACAGCGAGACTCGGAATAGCAAACAAACCTCGACAGGAGTCATCAATTCGACGGGCTTCTGCCACTGTGTAGCTTTGGTCTGAACATTGTAATAATACACTCTGCCGTCGGCATTGCGCGCCTCCTGCCACAGAGGCGATGCAGCTGCTGGTCCTGTCACGGGATTCATGATGCTTGATGAGCAAATGTTCCCAAGGAAGGCAAGCTGCTCTGCATGGATGAAGATCCTGATGCGCGGAAAATGTAGATGGCGGGTGAAGCTCTCCCGTTAGTTTCCCTTGTCTAGTGAAGGCTGTTTGTTATGTTTGCATCGGGAACCCCAGTCTTCCTTATCATAGTCCTCACCAGAATTGGCATAACACTACACTGGAAAATGGTCGTTACATGCTACAATAATCATTGAACGACATCTTATTCGAGTTGCTCGGCATTGGAGTTATTTAAGTCATTTGTTGCAAGCGACGCGCGAGCATGTGATTTCGTTATGCCGAATCTTGATATCCCTGGAGAATTCCTGAGACATGCTGTGCTAGATACAGTTGTCCCGCATGCTTCGAATATAGATCTGGAGGCTGCTCTGGCAAAAGCCTTGGAAGGGGGCGCTGACGATCTGTCTTCCGTACTGTCCTTAATACCTCAGCGGTCACTCCTTTTCTTCGGTACGCGGAAAGACAACCTCCTGATCGAACTCCTGTCTCTTACTCATGTAAAGTATCACAGATGAATTTTGCACCGCGTGCATCGTTCTCAGATTGTCCGATTGCTCGCGGGCGAGCTTGAAACATCACCTTCCAAACCTTGAAGTCAAGCTTGACGTTTTTGCCATCGACCCCGCCGAGGCAGTCTCTGAGAATCCGACACCTACGAGGGACCTGATATTCTCAGGGGTTGTAAGTGGGCAGGAGGAACCGCTGGTAGTTGTGAATGAGTTTGAAGGGGAGACAGGGAGCGGTAATCATGTGTATGTGATCTGGAGTATTGAGACGTTTCTCAGTAAGTTCCCCGATGTCTGACACTCCAGTTGTGTTTTTTCACTGATTGACCTATTCAGGGCGCCCTCGCATACGGATCCAACACCCTTCGCTTATCTTCATAGCCTCAGCCAGTCTCAATCTGGGTGATAGTCAACAACAAGAGTCCCCTGACGACGACTATCTTCCTCCGCTGGTTCCTGCTTCGACAAATATCTTGCAACCTTTGTCAACAGATAAAGCTTTGAACAAAATTGACCCTTTCCTACCTGCGTCGAGGCTTCTACGAGTCGTACCTGCGCAATATAGCGAAGATCCTATATACAATGTCCAGCAACGATCAGGTCATCCCATCCGTGTGGTTCCTGCAGCCAGCGCCAGGATACGGTACTCTCGACTGAACTCGTTCTCTGGGCGACCTACGACAGTTGCAAGTCTGGATTTTGAGGTCACGCCATTTCTTAACTGCGATGTGTTATTCGATAAAGCCGAACTTCGATTATCAGATGGGAAGATTGAGACCTTATCTGAAGATCCCAGACTCAAGCCCCCGATCATATGTCGCCCAAGGGACGATGTGACTCTAATCTATAAATTGACACCTGAGTACAGCCAGGATCCGAGTCCCTCGACCACCGTGTTAGTCAGCGCCTTGGATATATCCCTAGAGGCAGTCATCCAAGTATCAGAAGACTGCCACCCACGAATTCTTATGCAGTGGAGGACAAACATAGACTTCTCCATGGTCTTGAATCCAACCTTCGGTGGTCCTAGTCAAGCCTTGCAACGGAGTAACCGCCCAGCAAGTCTTTCTGTGGGGCCAAATCAAGTGAACGTCGCAGCCA